TCACATATGGAGTTTTTTGTGGAGCCCCTAGCGTCACATAGGTTTACATTACCAAAGGTTTATGACAAACTCTCTTGCCGAAAACCAACTCCCGTGTGCGCACGGCGAGAGAGGAGAGGGAGAGATGCTGTGCTGCTGCCAGAGGAGACACTGAATGAGTTCCCTCTGAGCGGTAAGTCGCTAAAAGAGTCTGAGAAGTCTGGGGCTGTTCATAAGACATTAACTCACTCACTCACAAGTTCTCCAGCAACACATGTTGCACGTGCTACGCTAAATCACGGACGTGAACCAGCTCCTCTTGCTCCGCTGTCTCTGTGCTCGCAGCCATTTTCACACTGAGGCAGGTGTGATGACGTCATCGATGATAGGACAGTAGAGCACAAATCTCTACCGTGGGCCAAATTTATATCATTTCTACCGTCTACCGCATATACCGTGCAGCCCTAATTTCCTGTAATTCCATTCAGGTTGCAAAGAAGTTGCCTCAACTAGCTCTGATCAGTCAGTGCGATGCAAAAAAAAATGGTTTCCAATTTTTTTGTTTTGTTTTGCGGCTGTTGAGCAATCCATTAAATTTTCTGTAAAATTCTCAACACAGGTTCAAATCTTAAGTGGCTGCTAATAATTTCTGTGATCAAAGTATATGTAAGTGATTGTTAGGATCTTTTGAAGTGTGGTTGTATGAGGTGCTTATCCATAGTCAATATCCTATTTTTTGAGTTCGGATTTTGCTTGCACCTGAATCTGATTGTTATTATATATTTGATATTTGTCTGTGCTGTAAACTGGCTATTAATGTTTATATCTGGCATACTTCAGATTTGTTTTGTGTTTATGTGACACTAGGCGTATTTACCCTCTGGTGTGAGAGCTGCGATGATGTTAATATTTAAGTAATATCCAATTTTTTCAGTTCGGATTTTGCTTGCAGCTGAATCTGATTGTTATTATATATTTGATATTTGTCTGTACTGTAATCTGGACATTAATGGCGTACTTCAGATTTGTTTTGTGTTTATGTGACACTGGGCGTATTTACCCTCCGGTACGTGACCGGTCATACTTCATGTAAGTTAAATTGAAATGTTTGCGTAATGTTTCACAATAAAAGTCAGGGACAGGCATATTGTCCATGGGCTTTTAATTTTATCAAAAGCATAATGCAGGAACAGACATTTAACAGAGTAAATAGAAGCAGATCAGAAAACAAGGAGGTTTTATACTAAATTATGAGCAAATATACTTATTGAACAGAGGGAAATAGAAATAAACGCCTCTCTCGAATATAAGCCTGCTTCCAATTAGGCTTGTCGCGAAATTAAAAGGGGGACGGTAACTTTTCCAGCCGTGATTAATTGCCATATTCATGCGTGTTTGTTTTCCGTGTCTCTCTCCACCAAAGAGACTGGACGACAAGAGTGTTCACTGCCATGCATCGTCTGGCAGCCAGGTGAGTTGGTTCATTGGCGTAATGAACGGAAGGAAAGCTCTTGTCACCGAGTGTCTTTGTCTCTGTGGGGGAGGTGGGGCTATTGGCTACACACACAGACACAGTGCAATCTTTGTGGGGGGGAGACTAGGCGGAGGGAAAAAAAAAACAGTTAAGCGTAAGAGAAAGACATGGAACTTGTTCCTAAACCAAATGCCATGGCCCCTGTGTGGGAGTATTTTGGATTTAAACTAAATGACAGAGGGGAGCCCAGTAATTTGGACGAGCCGGTGTGCCGGGTTTGTTCTAAAACCATCTCAACAAAAAGAGTGAATATGACCAACTTAACTGCACACCTGAGAGTGAGAGACTGAGAGTCTATTTTTTTGTATTTATTTATTTTGATATTTTTACGTGATATTTAGGATAATTAAATTTTCTTTTTTGCATTCCTACATATTCTTGTTAAATAAATGTTTATTTCTCTTTAACTTGCATCAGTATGCCTTTATTATCATTATATAAGTTTAAAAAATGGTCTAAAACAGCAAAATTACAACAATAATGAAAAATGGTCGTAAAAGCATAATATTACGCAATATTATCACTTATCGCAATAATTTCTGATGCAGTTAATAGCCCAGCAAAATTTGTTGTTGTGACAGGCCTACTTCCAATAAAGGCCTGGTACCCTCTGCAGTTGAGGTAAATAAAGGCCCCGGCCACTATTAGAGAAAATACATATATTTATATTTATATGTGTGTATGTGTGTGTGTGTGTGTGTGTGTGTGTGTGTGCACACATTATATGGATACATGAAACTATAAACCAAGATGTGACTGGTTATGATCAGAGTATACTGCCTGGACATGTATTTTTAAAGGTCAACTGATACTAAAGCATAAGACTTAACAGGTACATTACACTACAGAACATCATTGTGACTTGCAAATACCATTAGTATATGAACTGGAGAGCTGTTAGTGTGTTTCCAGCTCACACTGAATTAATCCTTACATTTAAAGGTGCCACGGCAACAGATCAACTTTGTTCTAACTGCTAACAACTGACTGTTGGGATTCACTGGACCACAGAGCATTTGTCATTTGTTCAAATCTAAACTGGACATGTGAAGGCTTGTCCTCTCTGGGTCTTGTCATTTGAAATGGTGGCAGAGACTGCATGCTCTTTTTCTTCAAACAAAGGCAGCCATCTCCACAGGATGCCTCACTGTCACACCTAAATGAGAGACCAGTCGCCAAACTTGATTGGACAGTACTTTCACAGTGATATGTGACTCTGTGATGTCACCAAGCAAACTTTAGTTTAAATTCTGCTCTCTTCACTCTCTGTGCTCTTTCTACTGAGCTGCTGACAGGCTCAGACGCTCTTGCCCCTGAACCATTGAAGGGGGCAGTTGCTCTACAGACTCTCTGCCCCGGCTCCTTCTCCGGAGTGGCTGACCGGCTCTTGCTCAGACTCTTGCTTGCCTGCTCCTAAACCTGCAGACCACCACCAGGAGAGCCTGCTACGCCCTTACCCTGTTTTCTTCTCTACATGCAAGAGCATGTAGAGGAGAGAAGTTAGTGTGCCAAACACAGTTAGTGTGCCAAACACAAGGTTTGCAACTAACTTTCCAGCAACAAGGAGAGCCAAGTTGAGTTAGTACCAGCGTCTAACTCTGCAAGGACACAGAGCGACCAGTGTCCTCGTATCTGCACCTTCCTAACAAGGACACAGCAAAGACCGCTTCTGGAACCACAGCCCTTTCCAGCCTTGATTTGCCAGCTAACAAAAGCAGCATGCTACAAAGAAAATCTTCCCTCCATCCATTCAAGAATTGGTAGTGTAACAACTGGGCATAGCATTATTGCATTTGTACAGGCTAAACAAGATTGTTTAACTTTCTCAATTGTGATTTAATGCTGTTTATTGAGTTATTTTTGTGATTGTTTGCAGTTAGGTTATGTTAGTTGGCTTCACCAAAGCTAAGGGATGTAAATTTGCTAATGCGCTTCACGGACAGTCTTGCATGCAACTTAACATCCTCTTTACTAACCCAGACCCATTGCAGCAAATAACAGATACACAAATTGGCTTTCAACATAGCTACACCCAAAGAGGCATATCAAAGTTACAGCTTCTAATCCTTTGTCTTTGTCCTGACCACCACCAGGCCAGACGGCCCTTTGTTTCACACACCCACCTTTTGTCTCTCTCTCTCACATACACACACGCACACCCACACACACCCGTGCTTATATATTGTTAGTTAGGATTTGTGTGTTTTGTTGCTTTGCTTTCGTGATGAATAGATATATTTGGAATGATAACTGCTGTCTGTTTAATATTGCACAAGGTTGAATGAATAGTCATACTGTGCTATGTAAAGAACTCCAAAATCCTTCAGCCTTTATTATCAATGTGTTAATTTTGGTTATAGTTATAAATTTAACTATTAATCAAAGTTCCAAACTGATTGTGAATTTATGGGACTGATATCATTGACTGGCTATAATTTTTCCCTTTTGGGGAATGATGCCCCGCGAGGTGATTTAATGTAAATTAGGTCACATTATTTAACATAATTAATAATGATGAATAATTATTAATTATTTCCCATAGCCATTTTGATACTTTAATCTGTAGGAGGTCAAGCCCGCCTTGATGAGGCATAGATCCCACACTGTTGACCGGAAGCTTCAAGCTCACAGCAAAAACATCAACACTTCCAGCTGAGACAAGCCAGGACCTTCAAAATAGAAGCTCCTTTGATTGATTTAATTAAAAGTATACTGTCTTTAACTTTATCATAACAGTATTTTATTTAACTTTATTATAACAGTATTCTATTTAACTTTATTGTAACTGTGGTTCATTTAATAATTTGGTATTTTAGTAGTCCACAGTACTTTAGAGGAGATTTTGAAATAGCACAATATACATTGTGTATTGCAATATGTCCTAAAATGTCACAATGTTATTTTTAAGTCATATTGCCCAGCCCTAGGTAATACAATAATTTTCAGGTCTTTAATTTACTGTATTAGCCAACAGACATTCTTATCTTATCTACAAATGGAATAATCAAGAAATATACAATATCTATATATTTCATATTTTGACACTGCATTATAACATTACATCGACTGTGCAGGTTTTGTCCACATGACACTCTCTAGTCTTACATGGGAAGAATACAGAGTTCATGTCTTACTGTCCAGTGGCTTGACTTGACTCTCTTCTTGTCCCTGTTGTCCCTGCAGGTATGTGAAGGTCCCGATGGGAAACATGGGCGTGTTTGACCCCACTGAGATCCACAACAGAGGTCAGCTCAAGTCCCACATGAAGGAGGCCATGATTAAACTGGGTTACCACCTGCTCTGCTTCTTCATTTATTTGTATAGGTGAGAGCAACAGCACCTACAGACACACTAACCTTTAGTGACATGTTCAAGGCTGTCAACAATTAGCTGAAGGCTGAATGAAGTGTCTGTCCATGATCAGTTCTGTATTAATACTTATATTTCCGTCCTGTGTTTCCAGCATGATCCTTGCCCTGATCAACGACTGAAGCACCCAGCAAGCTGCCGCATCCATACTCCTGGCTTTGCTGTTTCCCCCCTCACATTCTGCTCCTGTACTATATGCATAAAGTTTATCACTGTGGTCTTACTCAGGTCCGCACTCTTATGTGTGTCGTCAGAATCTGAGTTTTGACTTTTATACAATATTAAGGTTAATATTTAACCACTTCACACTTCAGTACCATCATGACAAAATCTCCTACAGCAACTGCTGTGTTTCATTCTGAAGGGGATAAATAATGAGTTTTCTTAAAACCTCTATCTGCAACAGTGAATGATTATAAGATCGGCATAGTGGCTTTAAAAAATACCAGACATTGTCACAGTAACATGAATGAGTAGGCTTCATAGAGCAGAGCGAAACAGAACTAGCCAGTGAAGATGATATATATTACCAACTACACTGTCTGTCTGGATGGAATTCTTTTCCACCAATGCCAAAGTAGGAAAATAGTGCCAATAGTGTTTTAACTCTTGCAATGCATGTCTTGTTGTGTCACTTTAGCCTTATATTGTGCAGCTAAATATTATTGCTTTGCCATTTCTCAAAATCCCCAAGGCCTTTGGTTTCGGGCCCTCTAGAAGATTTTTCAGCCTCTGTACAACTACAGAGGCTCAGAAATCTTTGTAGCAGTAAGTAGTTAGTTATAGCAGCAGCGTACACAGTGGAGCCCTAAAACTGAGGACACAGGCAGGAAAGCACTGGAGACACTGGAGTGAATCAACAGTGACCACTTAACAACCTGATGTCCTCCGCTGTAGCTCCAGTTTTCTGTTGTTAGCTGACTGGAGTGGAACCTGCTGTGGTCATCTGCTGCTGTAGCTGGTTCCATGTACTGTGAGATGCTCCTCTGCATAGCAGTGTTGTAATACATGGTTATTTGAGTTATTGTCACCTTCTGTCAGCTTGATCCAGTCTGAACAGTCTCCTCTGAGCGCTCTCATTAATAAGTATTCAGCCTACAGAACTGCCACTCACTGTTAACACATTCTCTGACCTCTACACACTGTTGTGGTGAAAATTGAGATCAGCAAACTAATCACAACTGAACCTCTTGACCATATCCGTGTGCCTTTATGCATTGACTTCCTGGCACATGATTTGTTGTTGAGATGTTTGCATTAAAGATATACTATGCAGGATTTTCCATAAAACAATATGTAGACTCCATTGTTTCCAGCAGAATTACAACCTATGTGTAGCGTTAGCTGACGACAGGTAACAGTTTGTGGAGGTCTGATTCATCGGGGGGGGGGGGGGGGCAAATCGATCAGTCGATCCGATCAGATCGATGCATGAGAGGAGCAGCTGTTTGTGAGTGAAAGCTAAAGTTAGACCCAGAGCAATGAACAGTTCAGTTGCCTTTGAATTAGCTTAACGTTCTGCTGCTCCGTCTGTGACCAGACTATGCTCTGAGTAAGCAAAGGATATATATATTCCAACAGCACTCCTAATGAACAGTTCAGCTCCAAAAATAAGAAATCAATATGTGGGAGCAGATGCTTTAATCGTGGTGGGCAGACACTAATAAATGAAAATGTTGGAAACCGTGGACTCACGAAAAAATCCTCTCAATCATCACTTCTGACCCACTAGAAGTGTTTAGAGGTATATTTATCTGCAGAGACGTTTGCCACCTTCTTATTTTCTTTTTCCGGGATGTTTATTGGTCTGTACCCCCACAACACTCAGGTGAGGTCAGGGCTTTACAAAAATGTAGTGACCAGGTGCCAGGCTGAAAGCAGCAGGTATCCAAGAGACACAGAGACAAAACAACAACAACACAAATATAGTGAGGCAAACCACAAACAAGAGGGCATCTGGGATTGACTTTTAGTGTCACTTTTGCTGGTGAGTGTGTTTACAAAAAGTAACCAACAATCCTGCATAGCATACCTCCAACGCCTGCGTGCCTAATAAAGTGGCCACTGAGTGTACATTCTGATTATTTTGTGTTGTGGCAGAGTACTAAGCTCAGCTGCTGGCCTTTTACTAAAGATGACATTAAGCAGCTGTGCATCACTTCCTGCTCAGAACTTCAGAATTCAGTGATGTGTAACTTAGCTCTGAGATCACATGCAGCTCCATATTTGGCTCCTTCCAGCAGTGTATGTACCTGCTGGATGGACAGTTTGAGACATGGTGGGGTGTTGTTTTAGGTGTGTGATTGAGCTTTTTATTGGCAGAAGCAGACTCGCACCATTTCTTGATCTGCAGTCTGCTGTCACCTGTAGTTTTGCTAAGTGTCTGGCACCATTACTCCAAAGTTCCAGGTTCCTGACTGTTCAGCTGACTCAGAATGTTGAACTGGGGGACAGTTAGAGCATTCTGATTGGCCGTTTAATCATCAGGTTTCCCTTTTTTCCCCCACTTGTGCCATTTCTTGTTTCTATCCTCAGTAAATACTTTAGTGCCATTTGGTGAAAGTGATGTGTACAAGATGTTCCCTCTCATACAGACACAGTAAAGACAGATAGGTGGCAGATCAAGTGAAATCCAACATCAACAACAAAGTGATTTACAGTAAAAATGATTAAAAAAACCTAAAAGTGAAAACAAGATAAAATAAATGAAACTTATACAGCTGCAAGAAGCTATTCCAGCCAACACAGACTGTTAGAAGTCAAAAGCTTTTGATGTGGAATGTTCCAATCCAATGTGGTGAAAACTTTAAAAAGGCAGTGAAATCTCCCTTTTTTTTTTTTTTTTTTTGCAAATAGAATAAAGGTTTCAGAGGTCAGTAATATAAAAATGCAACAGTAAAATGATACTGCATGATGTCCACTGAGAGATTGTACTGTAGTATGAAAAAGCAATAAGACTATGAATTAGTTTAACATGGCTAATTTTGTGCCAGGCTAGCGCACATGTTGGGAACTAGTGGTGCACCCCATTAAGCGATTTTAAAATAATTTTACAACATGTGGTTCATCATTATTATTTAACATATCCTGCAAATTTTGTAATAATTGTACAAACTATTTCTGATTGACAGTCTGATTTGTGTTATGCCATGCCAGTTTTTTCCACTTGTAGTGCCCCCTAGTGGTCGATTGGAATGAGACTGTCATGGTATGTTTCAGGTACTTATTTTAAAGATTGATCCAATGGTTGTGGGGTTTGGTTAATTAATGAGCTGAGCCATGCCCCTCCTTAAGATCATTGGTCAGATATATCAACAAGCTTTTGATAAGCTTGTTCCAGTAATGATCCACAGAACATTTTGAGCATTCAGACCTGGTTTGGAGGACATGTCAAACGTGTTTTTCAAAAAAATTAAAAATGGCAAAAGTCATTGGACTTATGGCACTGGGGGTGTGACCTTTCCAAAAGAAAGCCTATTTTTTTGGCTTTGCCTTTATTGGAAAGGACAAGTTAAACATGAATGGAGGAGAGAAAAGGGATGACATGCAGCAAAGGGCCGTGAGCTGGGATCAAGCCTGTGGGCGTTGCGGCAACAACATTACCTTTTATACATGGAACACCCACCCTACCTACTGAGCCACTGGGCGCCCCCAAAATGTAATTTTTGGGCCTTATTTACAGCACTCCCATCAGGCTAATTAGGGTCATACTTGTTGGGCAGCATTTCCACACAACTTCCAATCACTGGTGAAAATTTTGATGTGTTTACAATGTACCATCACATGGGACTTTGTGAAAACATTTCTGAAGAAGAGTAAGTATAACAATAAACCACCACAAAACAATAATTACAACAAATAGCATCATTTAAGACAAAGCCAGAGGATAAAAGTGAGTTTTAAGAAGAACTTTAAAAGAGGACACCTCATTAGTAAGTGTAAAGTGTATTAGACAGTGCTGTCCACCTTGTACCTCCAAACATGCTGCTCCAGACTCTCCCATAGGTGTTCAGTTCTGCTGACTGTGAAAGACATACCCATTGATTCCCATCATTTTCATCCTTTGTCTTTGTCACCTATCTATCTGTGCACATTTACAGCCACCTGCTGTTGGATGTAGTCTCTGTGCTGATATTATGTGTTCTGGCTTACTTGCTCTCCCATGCTGTTGTTGCTCCTTCATTTTTCTGAGCTCCCCTAATTAACATCATATTTGGTCAAAGTATCAAAAGTTTTCAAAATGAGAAGTTGAAATCAGAGGTTTGTGATGGTATTGAAGTGTAATGAAAACTCTGTTATTGTGCACCACTGATCATCAGATGGTGGATCACTGAGCCTGTTCTGAGACACTTTATGCATACAGTACCTGCCAAACTTCCAGTATCACACTCCATCCCTGATCACCAACCACAACTCAGCCTCCACACACACACCAACTTAAATACAGTCATATCTGCGTGAATATGTGTGTGTATTCATCAAACACATCACTAAATGTGACAGTGAGGTGCAGTCTGTGGGGCTGCACAGTGAGGAAATGACAATCACTAATCCACACACACATCAGTCCTGTGTCTGTGCTAGAAGGGTGTAGCCTCACAGAGCTGGATGTTGTCTGACCTTGGGGGGGGGGGGGCACAAAGTTGATGAAACACGCCTCCGTCTAAAAAGAGATTATTTATCTGAGTAATTGCTGTATTATTACTGTATGAGTGGCAGTTTCAATTTGAACAAATGGATTTGACCTATCATGCACTGATGATGTGTTTACTGAACAACCTTTGCATTGAGCATACACTGTATGTTAAAGTCTATCATTCCCTGTTTGAAAAAAGCCTGGATCAGCAGGTGTCTCAGCTTTCCCCTGGGGCGACAGATGTGTGCATGCATTCCTCTTTATTTGGTAAAGTGCATAGACAGCAATCATAACTGTTCAGTACATTCATACCTGTCTGTATTATGAAGGGCCTCTTGTGTTAGCCACATGTGCAGGTATTCTGGAGCCATTTCTCTCTTCACTTGGGGTGAAAAGAGCACTGAGCAAGTTCATATCTCATTCACAGTGAACTGTCTAATGCAGTGTCTGTTTTGGGGGAAATGTGGTGTTTCATAAATAAAAATTTAAGACAAGTTGTCTGTCTGAATCCTTTCAGTTTATTCTTCCCATTCGGCATTCAGATTCAATCCATTTTTTGTCAACTATTTAATCATTTTAGACATTTTGTCACTATTTGTCCTCAGCAGTCTCCTAATCTAATTAGTTAGTTTCTGGAAGTTCTTTCACTTTTAACTGTGAAGAAAATGCTTAAGAGCCTCTGGCTGTACTAGTGGATTATAGAAGTGAAATACTAAGAACCTCCTTATGTTAGCTTGTTAAAATCTAAAAAGTACAACACTAAAACAAACCCTAACACATTTTCATTAATTGAAGTTAATTTTATAAGAACTTAGTATTTTATTACACTCTGGTGAGGAGTCTATGGAGCCCTAAGAGGCAAGGTGAAAACATTTTTTTTTCTGCAGGCAATGTTGTCCAAAACAGTTTATCTCCTATGTACAACATATTGTGTCATAGGTAGGAGATATTATCTCTACGTAGGAGATACACCCTAAGGCTTAGTTTTGCTGTTTTGAGTGAGAAAGCTGTGCAGAATGAAGCTTAGTGCACAACACAGAAGGCACTGACAGTTTAGCCAAATGCAGAATAAACAAAAGGTTTTACCTTCTCAGGTGAGCAACTGCTTCTTTCCACAGTAAAACAAAATGGAACTGTGCTGTGGGAGCAGCAGGATTCTGTGTGATGTGCACTGGAACATAGGTGATGCTGATGCATCACCTATATTCCAGTGCGCACAAACACATTTGCAGCTACCCAAATCCTCATGTGGGCAGGAGAAACAGCTTTTTGCTGCTTGTATCTTGTATGAACTCTTTTGGCTCTTCTTCATAAAAATCTGATATCATGACAGCGCTAATCTCATACTATAAGACAATATCTTAAAGTCTGTATCCCAGCTGGCACTCACACTTTGGTTTCTTTTATATTTGTAGTTCATTCTTTCCTCATTTAGCTTATCTTAATTACATCTCACATTACAAACAAATAAATGACAACACATTGGATTTTGTTTCATACATCATACTCATTTTATTTTACAGTTTTGACAGTACATTAGTTTCTATTTGTAGCGCGCACATTTGGTTAACTTTTGTACAGTAGTGATGTTATGCTCGAGCCAGTTTGCTCAACACAGTGTCGATCTCTTGAAGCGCAAGTGTGTTCGATCCCTGCTTCGGCACGCCCACAATCACGTGACTACCGGGAGCGAGGCCTCATTACAGGCAGTCCCAGTGGTCTTCAACTTAGATGCAGTTCTGACACACAGCCAGCAGATGTCACTCTTCTGACTGTATGAAATGCTTCGAAGCAGTGTGTCATTCTTTAAGCAGGTGTGTCAAAGTGGTTCGCTGCTTCATGAAGGTTCGATTTCACCATCACTATTGTACAGTCACTAGTTTCTTTAAGTTGTTCTAATTTTCATTTCTTGAGTTACCAGTGTGGAGGTGCTGCTCCTGAAGGACATCTGGCCACGCCCGAGAAAAGGATGTGCTCCAGGAACTGAAACTGTTAAATATAGGAAGTGGCCAATTGGGCCATACCAGTTCCTGCCACCTCATAGGGAGGAACTGTTTATTTTCCGTTTATTATATTATTTGTTTCTCTTTATTAAATATTTAGTTTTGGTATTTTTGGTTTGGTTAATTAGTTGAGTTAACCTTTTTTGGGGAATTATTCTGTTTTATTTATTGCTTAGTTGGTAGTGTTTGTCTGTCTGTCATCCCTCTTGTGTCTTAATGGTCTGATCAGCCAGTATATATGTTCCCCATTGTGTCCACTTTGTAAGGTCTGTTGGTGGTGTTAAGGTCACTTCAGTTGAGTTCTGTTTATTTAACCTCTTTTATGGGCCCAGAACTTTAGTTATATATTTTGTCATTTGTACCTTTTTTTTCCATTTTTTTGGGTAAAATAAAAGCCACCTGAGTCTCCTCTTGTCTGCCAGCCCGGTCCCTTACACATATGACAAATGGTCAGAAGTGTGTTACGCAGATACCTTTGACCACCAAAATCTAATCAGTTCATCCTTGAGTCAAGTGTAATAATTCAGTATAATTAAGTTATGACCAAAAACTTGTTTTGTAAGGCCACACTGACCTTGACCTTTGACCACCAAATTCTAATCAGTTTATTCTTCAGCACAAGTGGACGTTTGTGCCAAATTTTAAGAAATCCCCCCAAGGCGTTCTTGAGATAGTGTTTATGAGAATGCGACGAATGTACGGATGGATGGATGTACGTACAACTTGCAAACATAATGCCTAGAGCTGCAGCTGCAGAGGCAAAAAAAAAAGCATCAGGCAACATTCATGGACATGGCCTGAAGCATTCTGTCAGAGGATTTTTGCCAAGGTCTGTGTCAGTGCATTGAGACACCAGGCAAACACAAGACAGAAATATATAAAGATCTAGTGAAAGACATCAAAGTAAAGTACCTTTTAAAACCCTGAATGCTTTATTTAAAATATTCATACATAACACTTCTCCTACAGACAACACAGAACAGTACAATCACTTGTTTAATAACACATTTTAAGTGTAAAATGGTTTCTGGCAGAAACTGCCTGCAAGCAAACAAAGTTCCTACATTGGCTTCTTACAGCAAGAGGAGCAACAAGAGAAGCCTGAAATACTCAGAATAAACAAAGAAAGTCACAAAAGTAGAAACTAGAACACCACATCTGTGACTGAATCAAGTGTGTGTGTGACATCTATTGTTGTGTACCACTAGCATGTGTGTTCTACGATGGTAGAGTTGAAGTTGTCGATAGGCGTCTGGGCAGATACACAGGGTTCCCACAATCCTGCAGTTATCATCCAGGGCTGGAATAGTTTTGAAAAAAATAATTCTCTGTAGAAGCAGTTTGGAAAAATGTCACTAAAATGGAAGTCTGGCTGCACAGTAGTCTCAAAACTAATTTTCCGTGTTAGCAGTTGTAATTGCAAATGTGCTGCTTTATATTCCAGCAGTAGTGCAGTCAAGAAAATTTGGTATGAAGTTCAGAAAGAGCAGCTGAAACCTTCAGGGATTTGACAGTAAAGGGCAGGCATGGGAACCCTGAAACACATGGCATCCTGTCTGCCATTTCTACCCAGCCTCATGCCATAACATACAAATATACAGCACATATTACATAGAATATCATATTAGGCAGGATTGTTCTTTTGACTCTCTGAAGGAAAACACTTTGTAGAAGTTCATAATAACTTTATGTTACACTTGTATACAAATGTGTTACAGATTGATTCTTACAGATACACACTCCATCATTTTGTTACTGTCATCTCAGCTCACTGGTGATGTGCTGAACTTAAAGAATAAGGCCGGCAATTTTCTCTTCCTTTTTTTTTCATCATGAACAAATCTCATGCACAGACCCAAAAGAGAATGTATCCTGATAACAAGTATTGTGTGTGTGTGTGTGTCTGTGTGGGTGTATCCACCCCTTATACATCTTACTGCTATGTATCATAGAGCTCCACTGTTTTCCACAAACTATTAATCTATGAGTCACACTGTCACTGGGTGACATGTTGTGACATGTGACATGCAGACTGTAGTTTTTCACTTAATAATTCACTTAATCCCACTGTACTGCTGTCACAAATACTTACTAGAAAACCAAATGAGGATTAATCCATCACAGAAAAAAGTCCCCAATGCATTCTCTATTTCCTCATGTTTGAGTCGTTGTTGTTAAAATCTACAGTGACCAGCTGCTTTAGGAAATAACTAAGCCTTTTTTAAACATGTCTTTAAAGGGGCTTTATGCCAAATTCAGGGCGTATGACTTGTCTGAACAGTTTTCAACATGGAGGTGGCTAAGCCGGCAGGAATCTAAGGGCTTGTTTATCCTCAACATTAGATGCAGAGATGGACAGAGCCTCCTGTTCATGCTCTGCATCTGCATATGTGTACGTTTTCTAAAAGCTTACAGATACAGACGAAATGGAGCAGTACCATCAGAGATCGTGCAGGCAGTGTAGCTTAGTTCAAGTGAGATATGACCGCTCAAGATGACAATAAAATTAAAATACTGACTGAATTGAATTAGTCAGTTGGGACATGTTGGGATGTATGTAATGGCCTCACAGACCATCTCCATCTTCAACGCTGCCTCTGTTTAAAGGTACAATATTATGACCCCCTCCACCGTTGCCTCGTTTGTTGTGTGAAACTTTTGACTCCGCCCTCTAGTGCCTCCTATTGGCACTATAGGTAATAAAGGAATCATGGAAAAATGAGGACTGTGATGTTTGCAACGTTTGAAACAGACATATATATTTTCATACATAAAGGGAGTATAAATGAGCCTTAACAATGCCATCTCCATGAACAGTGACAAACAACAGCAACAGCTGATGACGTTAACCAGGGGGAAACAGGGCACGGGGGGCACTACACTTCCATGTCAACAACGTCCTGATATCAGCAGTAACTGCCATATGAGCGCAGTGACAAGCAGCAGCAAGTTGCTCCCACAACAAACCACAGAAAAGCTTGGATTACAACACACACACACACACACACACACACACACACAAAGGGAACGTGACTTCATTCTCTGCTCAGGATGCCATTACTCCACTATATCTTTACATAGCAAACAGTGGTTTGCTGCTATATTAAAGGGGTAATTGTATAGGAGATAGTTGAGGGTTGTATGAAATACTTATTCATAGTCAGTGTATTACACACAGTAGATGGCAGGAGTGCTGAAACAGAGGCAGTAGACAGCAGTTCATTGCTTAGCTTCCACGACAGCACTGCTTCCTGCTTCTCCAAACTGAGGATGTGCTGACTGCAATCTTCTGTATGTCATACACTGTCTCAAAGACGACCTTTAAAGATTTCCATTTTTAGGAGGAACCAGTGGGCTTAGAGCTGAGTGTCACAGACAGGGTAGAGTCAGACAGTTCTGACAAACAGACTAACACATTGTTACTTCTGGTCTTTTCATGGAATTTGTTAATAATATGAAACAGAGAATAACACCAGCCTTATCTTGAAATAGCTGAACCAGGATTTTAGGAGCTCTACACAGTACAGTTAGTAATCAGCGAGTGTCTCTTTAAATGTTCCATTTCTACTTAAAAAAAAAATTAAAAACAAACAAACACAGTGTGAAGTTCATTTTAGAACATGTAACAACTAAACCAAACAAAGTGAAACTGACATGAAGACAGCTGTTTGTATGAAGGGAAGGATGGCAACAGGCTGGGGCAGCTGGGGCTCAGAGGCAGAGCGGGTCATCCTCCAATCTGCATGTCTAAGTATCCTAGAGCAAGACAGATAATCTTTAAACTGGTTTTACACATCAGCTGCGGTATACTCTCAGATAACATACTTTAACAGACCTTGCATACTGTGAATGTAAAACATCCTGTGCAACCCTATTCAACATGCTTATCCCATACCATTCTTTCTCTGGCTATAAGCAGCAAAACTGGAGGGAAAACTCATAAAATGTACTCTGCATTAAAACAAGACAACATAGATTTTTTCATTTAAAAGATACTTTCTCAAGTGGGTGCATCCATCAAATGTTCCTGTAGTTAAAATCTCTTAAAAGGTTCAGAAGATGAAAGTGAAAAAAGTTGAAGTTTCTTCATGTGACAACAGAAGAAAACTAAAAACACACACCCTCCACAAGGCGCTGCTAGCCTATCACAAGTCAGTGAACTACTCATGAATAAATATTGTAGTTGATAATAAATAAGAGGAGGTGGGTGGTCCTGGATGGTGCTGAGGGAACAGGTCGGACACGAGGAGGAGGTGGGACAGATACTGGAGGTCGTGGAGCCCATTTTCATCTGGCCGGCTCTGCTCTTCAATAATGTCACCGAGTCTTACATCTCTGCAATGTGACATCCTGACAAGCAGCAGCACTGGCCTCGTCTCTAGGAAGCTGCTGTCACATCATCAGAGCTTTCCCTGCTTCATCCATTCAAGTGTTTTCAGAGTCTTAATGCTCCCCAGGTTCACAGCTGCAGCAGATCATCAGCTGTCCATGCTGCAACATTCTAACAGCACAGGAAAGAGACTGAGGTCACACATCATCCTGACATCACCACTACCATCATCATAATCATCATCATCATCGCTACCCTGTTTAGACATGAAGCTGTTCATGGATGTGGCCTGTTGACTACTTCGTTCATGTTTGGCAGGCTGCAGATTCTCCACAGAAGGGCGCTGTTAAAATCTGATTCACATTTGTCATTAGCCACAAACCTACAGCACAGATGCTGTTTATATGGCTGAATCCAAATGTCCACCCTCTGGACCTGCTGACTTAGCCCTCGCAGACTTCAGTTGTACGTACTGAGACACGTTCCCAGTCACCACGTGAAGTCTGTGAGAGCAAAGACTGCAAGCCACTGATATACAGGCCTTAACTCTACTTCACTTGTTGCCCAGGAAATGTTTGGACAACAACAACAGTCATGTATATGGTGATCACTGCTGTCATATTCCTCATGTTGATGAATAGTGTCTGCTCATCGGTCCCTGTAGATAAAAAGATATAAGTCCCAGGTAAAGGCTTTTTGTGACTGAACAAAATATATATTATTATGTATACAGTACAGGCCAAAAGTTTGGACACACCTTCTCATTCAATGCGTTTTCTTTATTTTCATGACTATTTACA